GCTGTGCGGAGCCATGGTGAGTACCAGGAGCCCCAAACTCCAGTGGGAAGAGGGAAAATCCATCAGCTTTTCCCCCAGGATAGCTTTAGCAGACAGGAAGCGATGGAGGAGGCAGGGGTCTGATGGCCAAGGGTCCGTCCTGCCCCAAAAAGGGGCTGATCAAGCTGGGAAGCATCCGGCTGCATCGGAGGAGGCAGATTTTTTTTAATAGCAAGCATTTTAATAAATTCTTAGCGAGAGGCACAGCAGGGTAAGGAAGCACCTAATGACTGTGCAACCTCAGCAGCACATTCCCAAACCCGAGTTTTCCACCTGGGGCGATCTCACCCCAGCACCGATCCTTTTACCTGCTGTAGCCTTTGGTGGGGAAGCAATTTCCTAACACACCTTTCCTCAGACCTATTTGGTTAAATCCATCAGGAAAGAAAAGACGGAGCTATAATTTAAGCAGGAATCTTAAAGCCTTTCAGTATCTTGGAGGGTCGAATGTGCCCAGAGCTCCTGAGCAATGCACGGGGAAGCCACCAAGCACCCAAGTGCAGTAGCCACCGCGAAGGACGCAGGACTAAGAATAGAGTAGTTTCATGCTTTTATTCCATGCCACAAAAAGCCAGTGAGCTATTGGTACATACTTGAACCCCTGCAGGCACCCAAGAAAGCCAAGAAGAGGATTGAAGGTGCTAATTCCAACGTCTTCTCCATGTTCGAGCAGGCCCAGATCCAGGAATTCAAAGAGGTAGGTGGGTTTGGTGGGGCCGGCCGAGGGTCCTTGACGCGGTGTGACCTTCAGCTCTCTCCTCGGCGCCCTGCGAGCGGTGACAGCTGGTTTGCCACGAGAGGCAGCACGCCCGGTTTTGAGTCATTTTATTTTAAAAGTGCGAATAACGGCTCGGTGACGTTGTTAGATACGGCGGCGCCTCAAAGCGTCCTGCATCCCACAGAGGAGCAGCCAGGAGAGCACCAGGTCCTGTTATTAAACATCTCTCAGTGAGCCCCTTCCTGCGGTGCCAGGAGCTCTCCATCACTTACCCTGCTCAGCCAGCACACGGTCCTGTGTAGATCCCAGTTACGGGGATAACTGGGCCCAGCTGGGTTTGCTGGTGGCTCAGGCTGTCCTCCCCCATTGGTCTCATCCTTTGGCCAAGGCAGAGGGTCTGCGGGGTTTGGGCTGTCGTGGGAGCCAGGGTTGCCGCTGGATTAAGGTGTTGCTCCCTCGCTGGGTGAGGGACCCCAAAGCTCTGCCCTGGGCAGGGCTCAAAGTGCCCTCATCCCATCCAAGCCAAAGGGAAGAGGAGGAGGAGAAGGGGAGTAAAGCCTTGGCAAAGGCCAATGCTCTCCCTGTGCTCCCTGCCCTCATCCTGTGCCTCCAGGCGTTCACCATCATGGATCAGAACCGGGATGGCTTCATCGACAAGGCAGACCTGAGGGACACATTTGCTGCTCTGGGTGAGCCCCCTTTTAGAACCCTCCCCTCCCCAGCACCTTCCACGACATTAACATCTGTAAAGTGAGAAACCAGCAGTGAGCCCCCATTTAACCCAGCCCCAGCAGTTAACTGGACCTCCTGTTTCGCTGAAAACCCCCTGATCCAAAACAACTTCTGTTGGGTGGGTGGGGGGATCCCACACGGGGGAATCCCACAGCAGTGGGTGGGTGTTTCAACCTGTAGGTGCTAGGGAAGAGCCAGCTCCTGGGTTATACGCGGCCAAATGCTCCCGGCTTTCTCACGTGCTAAGAAGCACCCGGCTGTGCCCACCCCATGGCATCCAGGGGTGTACGGGAATTTGGGGGATTTATGAGATTTGGGATGTTGTGAGCTTGGAGGGAGGCCAGCAGGAACCAGCAGTGGGGCCAAAGACAACCCAACCTCAGGTTAAAGAATGTAGGCATTCAGTCCTGCTCCTTTCTGATACCAGCGTCAGGGGGACCCCAGTGCTGGTGGTTTTGCCCCAAAACTTCTTCTGAGGAGGGGTGAAGCAGGCTGATCCATGGGGCAGGGAGGGAAGGAAGCAGCACCTTTGCAGCCCTCTTTTCTGTGATCCTGGAGCCTGAGAAACCAGAGCAGGAGGTGTCCAACCCTCCCATCCTCTACCAGCACAATTTTCCCATCCTTACTTCTGCTACTGCCATTCCCTGTCAGCGATGGCTCCCCAGGGCTGTGCTGCTTCCCTCAGGTGGAGGAAAATCCTCCAGGACAAGGCTCGTGTGCTGTGTCCTCCAGCCCCCAGCACACAGAGCAGAGCCTGGAGGTCTGCACCCATCTGCAGCTGAACATGGGCGTGGATTCACTCAACGCTGCTCTCCCCTAGGGCGCCTGAATGTGAAAAACGAGGAGATCGATGAGATGATCAAGGAGGCACCCGGCCCAGTCAACTTCACTGTGTTCCTCACCATGTTTGGGGAGAAGCTCAAGGGTGAGAGGGCACCCGGGGAGCTGAGGGAGGGGGATGTCGGTAGGCACCAGCAGCACCACTGATATCCTGTCCCACTTGGGGAATCACAGAATTGCTCGGTTGGAAAAGACCTCTGAGATCATCACGTCCAACCGCTCCTGTCTACCCCCCAGCACCACCGATATCCTGTCCCACTTGGGGAAGCATAAGCAGGTCTCCGTGCCTCAGTTTCCCTCAGGTTAAAAAAATCCCCCAACAGGCTGTGATGCTGCTGTCCCCACAGAAGGAGGGGGCAGGAGATCCTGCAGCACCTCTGAGTCTGGTGACGCCAAAAGCAGCCGCCCTGACAAGTGCACTGGCTAGAGGGTGACTTTAACCCAGCGGCCCCATCTGGCTGCACCCTGTATCGCTGACACAATCCAAGGCACGCAGCCTCCCCGCAGATCTCCAGGAGGCCACACAGCCCCGAGGGCCCGTGCCTGCAGCTCTATAAATACACCCAAAAGATTAGATAAAGGCTGGACACCAAGGCAGTGGTGACAGAGCCTGCTCTGTGCACACACCACGACCCTACCTCTGCTCTTCTATGTGCCACAAAGCCCCAGGGAGGCCTGTGGGATCATCATTTTCCCAGGGATCTCACTTCCCAGTGGGTCCCTCATGTGCCCTCCAAAGGATGGGGGAAGCAGGAGGCTGCAGCTGGCATCCTCCTCCAACGGCCATGGCTGTGTCATCTGCAGGTGCCGACCCGGAGGAGACGATCCTGAACGCGTTCAAGGTGTTCGATCCGGAGGGGAAAGGCCTGAAATCCGCATAGTGAGTGCAGGGGTGGCTGGGGTGAGGGTGGGCGCCTTCACCAAGGCCTCCCTGATGCTCACCATGCTCTCTCATTTGCAGCATCAAGGAAATGCTGATGACACAGGGTGAGAGGTTTTCCCAGGAAGAGGTACGAGCTTCTTCCCACCCTCTGCCAGCCTCCTGCACCCTCCAACCTGACAGACCCCAGCCTTCCTCCCTGTCCCGGCCACAAACCCCTTCTCACCCCAGCTCTCTCCCCCAGATTGATCAGATGTTTGCGGCCTTCCCTCCAGACGTGTCTGGCAACCTGGACTACAAAAACCTCGTCCACGTCATCACACACGGCGAAGAGAAGGACTAGCCCGTGCCTGGCACCGTGAGATGCCCTCTCTAGATCCCATGGAGGAGGTCCTTGGTCTCTCCTCCCAGCGAACACACAAACGGCATCCACATTAAACTGCGTTTAAGTGAAAGGAAATCCAGCTCCTGGTGTGAGCAGTGCTCAGGTTCATGTGCTATGTCTGTGTGGTGCTTCTGTGCCCAGTGAGAGACCCCAGACCCATCCCAGACCCCACTGCCCATCACCCCCACGTGCCCCTGAGCCCCTCTGCCCCACCATTTCCCAGCCTGGCCCAGCTCCCACCCCAAACAGCCCGTTTCACACTGGGCTGTCGCTAGCAGCCGTCTGGTCCCACCAGCCCAGGCAGGGAACACCCAGCACCCCCTGGCCCCTTGGGCCCTTCCCGGATCCCTCTGTTACACTTGAATTAAATAAATCAGATATTTTAAGAATAGTGTATGTGGATAAATAGAGTTATAACGATAGAAGTAGTTATGTTAAGGCTTGATTTTAGGGCAGGCCTTGATTGGGAAACCTGCCCTGGGAAACTTCGTGCTAGGAATAGAGCATAGATAAGATAGAAACAATGTTTGAAGGATTCAACAGAGCATGTAGAACACAAGGACATAGCAGATTGTTGTTAGTGATTTGTTGCTAGTGGTAGAGCTAAAATATAACATACTAAAGGGATCGTGGTGGTGGGAGTTAAGTCGGATAAACAAACTCATAGTCTTAAGAAAGCTGAGCATGTAAGATATATAGCCAAAGAAACTATTATCCCTATGAATGTAACCGTTTATAACTAAGAAATGT